TTTTTAATTGGGAGGTTTTTTATTTTATTTTATTTTTTATTTAATTAATAAAAAGATACTGACAGCGAGCTGCTGAAAGCGGATGACGTAAGAGTCTACCGAATGTTGATTGGTTGACAAAATAGAGAAGCAGAGCCACTGAATGTAGAGAACGGAGCTACGACGGAGTTCACCGGGAACGGAAGAAGCACGAAACAAACAATAAAGATTAAAAACTGCAGTATTGAAAGTACAGACGGTGGCTGCAATCGATACTTTTCATTGTTTTCAACGTTCTGCTTCGGCTCTTTGTATGCTATAACTCTGCTCTTCTCCGTGTCTGACTGATGGATCAACAATAGCATAAGCATGCGTAGCCCACACACCAGTTGTACCACATATTTTTGACACTGCTTCCAAGGACAATAAACCCTCTCTGCAGCTAAACAGGAAGCCCCAACAACCCGGGGACTGGAGCAGAGACCCTCGGTGGTTTTCAACACAGTTTTTTGGGCGGGGGTTCCACAGAAACCCACAAAGCTTAAGAGTAGGCCACTAACTCCAGTCGCAATTTGGGCAGAGCTTTTACGTGGAGTAGCAAGGTTAAGTTAATTTTCCGTATATACAGTCACATTAACACAGAGCGTTTCTACTTACTGCTGGACGTTTGGTTTCTCCACACAAGAAATGTAAAGAGCCTGTTTTCCAGAGCGCCAATGAACGAAATCTGTTCAATTAATGTTGCTATGCAGGATAGAGAAGAACTGAATCACAATCCAGGATGCACGTTGAAGCCTGGAAGGCAGGAAGTAATAACTCTATCTGTGTTCAAAGGTGACGGGGATACTTGGAAAGCAAAGGTGTGTTTATGTACTCTGGATCAAAGTTAGTGCGTCATTGATGAATTAACTGAAATGGTACACTTTTTCATTTTCACTGAATAAGGAATTAAATTCCAGTGTTTTGTCAGCACAGTCTGTAGGCGTTAAGCATTAGTTATAAAGATTCTTTTTGTTATGCATTGAAAGGTTTATATTGAAGCTGCATTTCTTAATGGATAAGTCATTCTGTATTCATTTTGTAATTTTGTTTGAATGATTCTTAATTCTTAGCTTTATATTTGTTTCTGTGTAATGTCATGTAAATGTTATGCGACCCTAATGAGGTTTGATCGTTTCTAAATTTGCAACCATTCTAAATTTATTGGTTTATAATATATAAGACTTTCATATGTCGATATATAGCCTATGTAGATGCATGTCGGTGCATCTATGGTGGTTTATTGCACATACTAAAACTTTGGCTGCGTGAGTAATCTAAGTCATGCGTTATGGTTAGCATTCATGAGGAGCGTGACGTACAGGGATTACAGTTGAGTGTGTGCATGTAGTCAAGTGTGAATGCGCGACTAAGATGGAATTACATTCGATTGTGGTCATGTAGACATCAAGATGAGACCTGAACTCTACGGTGGAAGTATTGTTATATTTAATATTATTGACTATACTGTATTATACTTATGCGCGATAATTTAATCTGTAATATTTGTGTCTAATAATTGGCCAGTTAACCAAGGACCCATGTTAATCGGAACATGAAGAGGGAGGAGTATGTGATGTGAAAGTAGTGCTTGTAGTAAGCAAGGTGCTGTCATGACACTAGGGAAAAGTTTTCATTTGTTTTTATTCAAAAATAGCAGCTTTTCCACAGTGCTGGGCTTAAGACGGTTCCTCTTTTTTGAGAGGATTTCTCCTGCTTTTGAAAATATCCTCTCACAGGGCACAGATGAAGCAGGGGTTGCAAGAAAAACCACAGCAAGTTTATACAAGTTTGGATAAAGAAATTTGTGTCCAGTACTCCAGTAGCTATGTAACACGTACGTAATCCAATTCCACAACACGATGTGATGGGGGAATCAGCTGTGTTTTGCTGCCCATTTTATTTCGAATCTGGCGCGAACCGGTGAACCAGTTCCCGAATCAGTCACCTTGGTGGTACCGACCTAGTTGTCTAGCGGCCCGCGAAAGGACCCAGACGTGTTTGTGATCGGAAACGGCGCGTCCCACACGGGCAACCGAGTACTGCATACGTAATCAACGCAAGCCTCGATACGCGCTTCAGAAAAACGCCCACGCGATTACCCGACCTTTTTTGTTACAAATACTAGCAAAAAAATAATAGTGAGGAAAATACTGAAAAATATTTTTAGTATGTTTTTGCAAAAGAGAAGAAGGTTAAGAAGATCAAAATGTAGGGAAAACAAATTCTGTTAGTCTTAGTAACACTACAACTGAAAATATTGTGATTTAAAAAATGAAAAGTTAAAAAACAATGACTCAATTTGAAATGATTTAAATTGATCATATACAGTGACTGCTTTATTTGATACTTTAAATCTTGATAGTGTCATCTTGGACCAATTTTTGCCTCCAGAGCAGTTTTATACCTCGTTTTATACTTTTATTTACTTTTATACCTCGTGGTTTAAGAAACGTTCCTCTGAATGTTTTAGTCCATATTGACATGATCAGTTAGGCACTGCTTGGGGTTTCAAGACTTAAACAAGGGATTTAAACAAGGGATTATAGAGCAGTTTTATACCTCGTTTTATACTTTTATTTACTTTTATACCTCGTGGTTTAAGAAACGTTCCTCTGAATGTTTTAGTCCATATTGACATGATCAGTTAGGCACTGCTTGGGGTTTCAAGACTTAAACAAGGGATTTAAACAAGGGATTATAGCAGAATTCAATTTCAAAAAATTGACTCCCTGTGGTTCATATCAATTTGCCACACATCTGTTCAGTTTGTTCAGAGTCCTGAACATTCCTGCACCTCGTGAACAGGGTGCTATATTCACGTGCTTCACATGCTGCTGCGCACCTGGATGGATAAAACAGCAACCATTGCATCCTGCCTGTGTCCCAAAGCTAAAACAAAAAAAAAGGGAGATGAAGTCGTTCTTGGGGCTAGTTGTTACTACTCCTTTTTCATTCCTGGCTTTGACCAGTCCTTTAATTGGTCACAACGGGCGACCGTGGCTCAGGGGGTTGGGAATCGCATCTGTAACCGGAAGGTCGCCGGTTCGATCCCTGGGCTCTCTGTCCTGGTCGTTGTGTCCTTGGGCAAGACACTTTACCCTACTTGCCTACTGGTGTTGGCCAGAGGGGCCGATGGCGCGATATGGCAGCCTCGCTTCTGTCAGTCTGCCCCAGGGCAGCTGTGGCTACAACTGTAGCTTGCCTCCACCAGTGTATGAATGTGAGAGTGAATGAATAGTGGTATTGTAAAGCGCTTTGGGTGCCTTGAAAAGCGCTATATAAATCCAATCCATTATTATTATCATTACAACCAAAAGGGTGCCCCAGATCTGGTGGATGGTACAGTGCCAGGTGTAATGAAATAACAAAAATCAAAGAACCAAAAACACAAAACACTGGGTCAACGACCCAGGGACCCTAACAACTTCAGTGACAAAGATTAAATAAATGTTGAAATGTTACACTACCATTAAAGTGATGTTTTTATTGATTATTGCCAGTACCATTACTTTGTGTATAGTAACATTTACTGTTACTGACTGAAAATATCTTCAGTGTCTCTGGTGATTCCCTGAGTGGGCGAAAGACACCTAGAAGATGTTTCAAATGTTCCCTTTCTCAGCAGCGTCCACCAAATTGAGCACAGGAAACAAGAACCAGTCTACAAGCTACATCAAACACAGCATTAGTCTGAACGGGTTTGTTGTTCTGCCCACTGACAGTGAACTGAAACAGTGAGGCTTCACTTGACACAAAAGCAACTCAGCTTCTTTAGAACGGCTTTTGTAATGCTAGATAATTGCATTCAGACAAAAAACTAATTAAAATTAAAATATTTTTATCAGCAAAGTGACACCCCTGTTCATTTCAGTTAAGCTACAATTTTCTGTATACACCAATACGACATGAAGGTCAGTGCTCTCTGCATCACACTGTGTGAGTACTTTCTCTATTTCTACGTTATTCTAATAATAAAATTAGGGTTATTCATGCTGATAAAAAATATGAATTGTTTTGTTTTATACTATACTAAGAAGGGTTTTGCATTTTGTTGGACTATGTATGAGATGTAATAATAATTATTATTTTAATTTAACTTTTAAGCTTTTAGTACATTTAGCAAATAATACAGTATGTGTATAGTTACTATGTAGCTCTTTTTGTTCTCACTTCAGTGATGAGCATCATGATTCTGCTGTTTGTACAGTATCAGAAAGTTGGTGAGTACCAGCTGTTTGATCATCTATATCAGTTCATTCATTGTTTAGATGCATTATGGTGGTTTTAGTAGTAGAGTTTAGTAAAACTCTAAACTGATAGTTTTTTACTTTTTTCTTTTTCTTCAGATGCAGTTTTTCTTCGCATCATTCCAAACAGATTGCAGTTCTTTGTATATGAATCACTAACATTTCACTGTGAAGGAGTCGATTACTGTGAAGTTGTGCATAAATTCAGAGGGAAAATAAAATCATGTAGTGAAGTTACTGAGACAAGACCAACAGGATCATCCTGCCGTGTTAGAATTGTTTATACAGACGACAGTGGAGAGTACTGGTATGAGACTGAAGCAGGGAGAAGAAGTAATGTTATCAACCTCTCTGTTACTGGTACTTAAACAAACATTTTATGAAATTTATTTTAATAGAATTTAATATCATGTATTTAATTATCAAATGCATCTCATTTAGCTGGTCCTGTGATCCTGGAGAGTCCTGCTGTTCCTGTATTAATGGAAGAAACGGTGACTCTGAGCTGCAGAAAGACAATTTCTTCCTCCAACTTCAAAGCTGATTTCTACAAAAATGGACGTCTCATCCATACAAGCGTCACAGGAAACATGACCATCCACAGGATTTTCAAATCAGATGAAGGATTTTACAAATGTATTATCTCAGGAGTTGGAGAATCACCAGAGAGCTGGCTGAAAGTCACAGGTGAGACACTGAGATGTTTTAAAATAATGTGTTTCTACATAAAT